TGTACTATAGTACAGGAACTGTGGCCTGATTTTAGAGCAACTTTTAAAATCGTAAAAAGTCCTATTTTGATCGGAATCAGCTCAAGCTTTCTATGCAACATAAGAACATGTACATGTACTTTATGACCTCATATTGTAACAATAGATTTGCCAATAGTGACACTAAATGTTATTAAGAAATAATGAAACTGGTACAAACAGAATGACGACTGTGATGAGAAACATGACGATGACATTAGTGATGACACAATGTGACATGTGGAATCTGATAAAATGAACATGAGACAACCCACTTGTTCCATCCTCAGATGAAGACAGGAGGAATGTGTTATCATTATTGAAGGATAGAGAATAAACTGGACCACTGTGACCTGTCAGTACACGTACATCACTTGATGAACTAAGAAAATAAAATAGAAATATAATAGGAAATATAATTAATGTGTTTCTAACCTTGTGTCAATAATTCTCTCCAGGATATCCTCTGTAATGATTATTAAAAATAACAACATGAACATTAATATTCACCTGCCGCTAATGAGACAGGCATTTGTGCTGCTGGCTTGAGTGGACAAAGTTTCTTTGATGTCAATGTCCATAGCCTGATGATTGAGTTAGAAAAACCAGCAGCAAGCAGTACTGAATCTTGTGATATCTCAACAGCATTGACTCTATAGAATAATGGTTGGGTTATAATCAGCTATGGCATTACAAGATTGCAGCATGAATAACTTAATGAATGGGTACAGTAGCTGGTTTCTTAGTAATAATAGCTACATGGTTGCTAAGCACTAGTGCTGTTGAGTATTACTGTATGTCCATCCACTGACCCTTGGGATATGTTGAGGAGTGTATAGAAACAAACTGATGGGAGAGCTGATGGGCCTAATGATACACACTTGGTTGCATCTTTATAGGCTTGGAATTTAGCAGCTTTTTCACTGTCTCTCCTACAGAAATTAATAATGATAGAAATATTATTGGAGGATTTTCACTAACAAAGATGGTAATGGAACTCTGTTTAATGGTGGTGCATTTGGTGAACTAGTAGTTTTAGCTTTTTTACCAGCTCCTCCAGCTTCCTTCTTAGTCTTTTTCTTCTACAATACACATACATTAATGTTTATCATAAGGAACTGACTTTTGGCTTATCATCGTCAACTGTTGCTGCAGCATCAGCTTCTTCTTTCTCCAGCTCAGCTAGTGCAGCAGTCAGATCAGGGTCCCTTGGGATACCGTAATAAACTTTGGACTTGTTTACTGTAAGAGTGAAAGAATCCAATAATGAGCAGCTAATGTGACTGACATAGTACAGTCCAAACACAATACACAAAGAAATGTATAATATGCAACAACAGAATGGTCACACTCATTACAGGGAAAAAATGCAACAGTATCTTTGGCCTATTATATAGGCGGTAGCCTGTATGTAGGATTGAGGTTGGTTTTTCAAGATGGTGGCCGTTTTTATGATATTCAAACACTTATAACTCTTTTATCTTATTGTGTAATTAAAGGATGGATTGATCAATGAATGTGGACTGCACAATCGGTTAGGAGGGATATGCACTTAGTCCTTCAGGGAGGAAGGTCAATTTTAGGAAGGTCAGTTTTCACAAGTGGAGTGACATTATGCGTACACTAGTCCCAGTACATTAAACCACATCATCAACTATACAGACACATCTGTCCTTTGTCAGATTTCCCATCTCTCAGATCATTCTAACCACAAACCATTACAATCAGTTCCCATTGTTGTATGGAGAGGT